ATTGTTAATTTTTTTTAAACATATTCTTCATTTTTATGTTCATAATAATTTATTTTTATTTTTTGGGGTTACTAACCTTTGGGTCAAATATTCCATTTGTGTTTATTATCTCTTAAATTGCATTCTTTAAACAAACCTCCATTAAATCTCACATCTCTTTTGTAACCCAAATTCTTAATTTATTGCCTTATAATATACACAAATTCAACAGGAAACCTCTTTTAATGTTTGAATTGTGAGTGCCAATTGCCTCTTCTTTTTTAATAATTGAATGGCAAATAAATTATACATTAAGAGCTTTGACTTCACATTCATCTTTCACCACCATTAATTTTCTCATAATTATTGTAAACAATTTCATTTAAGTTATTGTATCAGCTGAAAATGAAGACAATCTAGTTTAGATGTATCTATATACAGTAAAATAAATTGATTGTATTGATTCACCTGAATATAATATAATTATATGTACTTGAAATACGAATAAAAATTTGAGAAGTGATACAGTGCATAATCACTATTATTTATGTGAGAATGTGTGTGACGCAATCGTTACTCGAATTATGGCCACATGAAATCACTCAAAATGAGGTCAAGATAGATAAATCGTCCGTACATAAAATCAAATTAACGTCAAATTTTATTGCCAAGATTTTTATTAGGGTCATGTTTGGGAGGAATTCTCAAAATTCTACAGTAAATCAATTCTCATTTTCAACCACACATTCTTCAATAAAATAATATTTTCCATCACATCAGTAATTTCTTTTTCTTTTTCAACCACTCATTTCCCATCATATCACTATTCAAAATCAATTATTCCTTCAAAAATCCCTCCCAAACAAGTACTAAATATACACAGATTTGAGAATCATAAAAATGTTTAAAATTTGAAAATAAATTTATGAATTTTTCAGAAGTTTTTTACTTCTTTAAATGGTGGGTATGTTTGCCTCTCTATTTTCCAGTTTTATGTTTTTCATTTATATAATATTTCAAAAGCATTTAAAACGAAATAATAGAAAATATAGTGCACTAACTGCAGTCTAAAAGAGATTTATATATTCTAAAAAATGGTGAATATTTGAAAGAAAACAATTAACTATAGTATCATTATGTTATAAATAAACCAATTAAGGACATGTTTGATGTAGATTTTTTGATAATAGATTTGATGAAATATGTTCTTTTTTAAAAAAAAAACTTGTAATTAAAATGTGGAAAAATATTATGGGTCCATGTGCAAAATCATTTTAATGAAAGAATGTATGATTAAAAACAGAATATCCTATTTAGTACCAGCGATGCTAGAACACCTATTTAGATGTCATTAGTGATAATGTACAATTAAATAATTTATTTAATTACACCTCTCACTTAATGTCACTTGATACTACCTAAACTAGTGTTTTAACATCAGTAGTGCTAGCATTACTCTTTAAAATAGTTTGAAAAAAAATGAATTCTAAAGAATGTGCACCGAACCTGAACTAAATGAAATAACACTTTAGGTAATAAATCGCGTGCGCATAAAAGATTGACAAGATGTAAAATTCTTACCAATCTCGAAGTAAATGTAAATGATTAGTCTAAATGTACACAATCCATTATATAATGGATTATACCCCCTCACATAGAGGCGGTCCACACGCAATAAAATATTCGTAGGCTCCCCTTCATGTGAGGGGGTGTAATCCATTATGTAATGAATTGTGTGTAAATCTAACACAATCCAAATGTAAAATGTCGATAACATAATGGAAGACCTCAAAAAGGTCAAAATAGAAGACCCAAATAAGTATAAATATCATTTAAAATTGTTAATCGTATTTGTTACTCTGTATATGTAACTGACATTTGTGTAGAGAATTTTGATTCATTTAACCTCGCCCAATAATAGCCTATTTTTGATAATTTGCACTAGTCAATCAAATAAGAGAATAAAATTCATATCTCTGTATGGGTATATAATAATTTATGACGAGTTAAATAAAGAAGTTTCAATATATCATAATTTTTTTATCGGTAAATGTAAATTCTATTGATCAAAATATATGTACAAGTACACCGAGCATACTTTGACAAAGCAAAAATAAAAAAGATGTACAAATGATAAAGATCTATCAACTCAACACTAGAGATTCAAAATGAACCAAAATATTACGATACAAAGAAAACACGACTTTGTATACAAGTGTTTTAATTTGTCTCACTATGCTATCAATATATGGTTTAAGATCCTCAAAAATCATTCTATTCCGTGCTATCCAAATTTGGTAAACTGTGCAAGCAAGTGCAATTTTCTTAGTTTTATATTGCAATTATGTGCTTTGGGCTTGTTTCTTCATGCACTTCAATGCGCTAAGTATTGTTGTCATTGATCTCCTCATTCCCAACGAACTTTTAATCTGTCCCCAGATGCTAGAAGTCCTAATACACTGAAAAAACAAGTGCCGACCTATTTCAAGGCGTGAACTAGGGGTGTAAGCGGTCTGATTTTACAGATTTTTGACAAATTTTTAAATCAAACATTTTCAACTGATTTGAGAAAAACCCAAACCCAAACCAAACCGTTTTGACCGATTTGAAAAAAAAAACTCAAATCTAAACCTAACGGTTTGCTCCGGTTTTAAACCGCCGGTTTCGCTTATATTTTTTTGCCATCTAATGTCTACTTTTATGTCATTAATTTAATATATATTTATATCTTACTGTCAATAAATCTAAAATAAACTAAATATATCTACTATAAATTTAAATACCAACAAAATTAAAGTAAAATCACAATCAACCAAAATCACAGTCATATAATTTTAGAGACAACTTAGACGGTTTTTATGTTCAAAAATCAAGAACACACAGTTATGTAACTAAAATTACAGAACTACAAAAATAGAAATAATCCATAGGTCACAAAAAATCACGAATTTGAGGATTTTCAAGAATCGAGATGAAAAACTATATTTAATAATAATTTAGACGGTTTCCATGTTCAAAAATCAAGAACATGCAGCTATGTAACTAAAATCACAAAAAAAAAAAAACATAACAAATTACAGAACTAACCCACAGGTCACAAAAAATCACGCAGTCTTGCAACGAAATTGAAGGCTATCAGTTGTGACTAACCGTATACTACCGACGACCATCGCTGGCAACTGAAAATTTTGACCATAGACTACCGACTATTTGAGAAAAATTCAAGAGAGAGAGAGAGAGAGAGAGAGAGAGAGAGAGATGGAAGGTTTGAGATTAGGGTTATGTTTGTGAGAATTTGAGTTCGTTTTTTTTTTTTTATTATTAAATTAGGATAAAGGGCTGGGTTGGGATTTGGGCGGGTCGTAAATCGTAATAACTAATAGGAAATTAGAAATTGACAAAAATACCGACAAAATGACAAAATTATTGAATTTTCAAAATTGGAATTTTGGATAAATTTTCAAAAAAAATTCAATTTTTTATTTTATATATTTTTTCGCTGGTCCGATTTGGCTTTAATTAAAATTCTCAAGCCTAAATCAAACCGTTTTTAACTGGTTTGGTTTGGTTCACGTGGCGCCAAACCGTCGGTTTCGAAATTGCGATTTCTGTTTGATTTTTCGGTTTGACGATTTTTGCTTACTGCCCTAGCGTGAACCACAAAAAACTCACGTCTTGTCAATGTTTAGATGCATCAATTTGTTTTCGTAAAGGGCTTAGATTACGCAGCCAACCATAGCATGAATGAGTGTTTTAGAGTGATATATGGTCTCCAAATCTCCCTCGTCCAAGTCTTTTTCTCCCCCTTTGGCCTGAAAAACTGATATGCACTCCCAATGCAACATTAGCTAGAAGTTGTCCAACTGGATAGCCTATCAACAACAACACGTTAAGTTATTTTCGACTCTTTAAGCTGATTTCAAATGTCCAACAACTTCTTGCTCAAAGGAGAGTGATATTTTCTTGTCATAATCTACTAGTACATAACGTTCATAATATTCAAACTCTTGAACCGACCTATGCACTGCATTAGCCCTTAGTCTTGTAATATTTCGTAAGTCTATCTCTAAGAAAAATCACGAAGCAATGTCAATTTGAAATTCCACCAATCTAAATTGTTTGATCTTCAAGAAATGCATCTCGATGTAAATTGCGGTCCATGAAGCCCGTTGTAAATTTGTTGAACACGATCCGGCCCGTTTAGCAACGTGGCCCTAGTGAGCAGTGTGTGCCTTATCAACAAAGGGCAGTTCGCTCTCCTACTTCCGAATCCAAAGAGTAAACGTGTCGCCGACATATTGCTGCAGAAATTCATATGTCAATTTCTCACTCTATTGAACTGTTTTCTTGTCTATCTTTCTTGAAAATTAGTAATTCGATACAATTTAAACACTCAGAAACGCGCAGAAATGAAAAGCATTTATTTATAGCAAATACAAAATATATCCAGTAACTGTATTTAATCCCATTTTCTCTTTGTATAGTAGTAGTAGTTGGAAAACAGAACCCTAAAAGGGATTCTCTGTCAGAACAATTCGCCGCCAGATTGATATTTTCTTTGTATAACTCGTAACCCTCTCTCCCATGACTCTCCTTCTTACAAACCCTTGTACGCCTCTCACTTCTTAGCTCACTTTCATACTTCCTTTTGCTCTTTTTTCTTGAAATTTATGGTGTAAAAAAGGCCCCTTTTAAATTTTGTTGATTATCATTGGGTATGCTCCTTTAATTTATGGAAATAAGTTTTCTTTAGTGTCTGATCGTATAGTTCTGATGGCTTTGTTTATCATCAAGAATTGAACGTTCTTGATTCTTGATCGTCAAAGCTTGTAGTTTTGTGAAACCGAAGCTTTGATCTTCAGGCTGTCTTTATGGTTTCGTTGGTTTTTAGTCTGCAAATTTAAAAAGTGTTAAATTCTGAAATCTTTCTAGGGTTTGTGGGCGCTGGTGGAGTTAATTTAAGCTTTTTTCCTTTTTGGAACGTGTGAATAATTTGTGGGCTTTGAGGTCGCGGTAAAATAATGTTATCTGAATTGGGCAGGAGACAGATGCTTGGTAATAATGAAAATTCCTTTGGAGATGACTTGGAGAAGGAGATAGGGTTTTTGCTCCGTGAACAGCGGCGCCAAGAGGCTATTGATCGTGAAAAGGAGCTGAATTTGTACAGGAGTGGGTCAGCTCCGCCTACTGTTGAGGGTTCTCTGAGTGCTGTTGGTGGGTTGTTTAACCATGGTATTGGCGGCAACAGCGGCAATAACTCTGCCTTTGCTGAGTATGCAAAAACCAAGAGCGGTAATGGTTTCATGTCAGAGGAGGAGCTTAGGTCTGATCCAGCATATTTATCTTACTATTACTCAAATGTCAATCTGAACCCAAGGCTGCCGCCGCCTCTGTTGTCGAAGGAGGATTGGCGGTTTGCGCAGAGGTTACAAGGAGGGAATTCGACTATTGGGGATAGGAGGAAGGTGAATAGGATTGATACTGATGGTGGTGGGGGATCCCTGTTTTCGATGCCACCTGGATTCAATTCTAAGAACCAAGAGAGTGAGAGTGAGATGGATAACGTGCAGGGTTCTGAAGAATGGGGTGTTGATGGATTGATTGGTTTGCCTGGATTAGGGCTGGGTAGCAAACAGAAGAGTTTTGCGGAAATATTTCAGGTGAATAACTTGCATAAAATTGATTTTTTTTGTTTTTTAATGGTTTTTCTGTAATCCTTTACTTGGAGATGTCCTACTTCTTTGCGATTGTAAAATGATACTGAAAATGTGCGTAAATGCTTGCAATTTGATATTAATCTTTTTCCTGTTTACCGTCATTATTTACCTAAATATCCAAGTTTTCATACTTATTATAACATTATTCTTCTTATGCATGTATTGAAGACTGAAGAGCTATACACAATTATTATGTACTTCACATGCGCTACAATTGTTTCATATCTATCTGAAAAGCAATTTGTCCTTTTACTTTTTATTTGGTGTTGTTTTTGGCACGAGCTTACCTTTATTGAGTGCAATCTGTGGAATACATTTGTTCTGTGAGTTTAAAAAGCTTTGCTAATACTCAGTGCTGGAGCCACGATTCTCATGTGTGTGGGGTGGGGTTCAGTGCTGGAGCTACGATTTTCACATGTGGGGTAGTGGGAGAAGGGACGGGATATGTATGTATTTTGTATATATTTAAAAATATTCTCTCTCTAGAAAAAAAAGTTCGTAGACTTATTCTTTGATCAAACATGAAAAATTTATGAAGATTTGCAAAATTAATTATTTTTGTATTTGACGATACGCGATAACAATACAGCAGTAACACACTGTCGGTTGGAAGAATCATTTTACCGAACATGATTTGATCACGGTTATGTTCTTTCTGATGTCCCCTTGTGTTATATTTTTCATTTGTGTATACCATTTTTATTGCTCTCTGTGTACACACTCCAATCCAACAAATTTTTCGCTAATTTGATATGTGCGTAATGTTCGAGTTTCATGCTTTCTGGGCTAAAATCTTTGAACCTAGCTTGGTATGATGTACTTGAGTGTTACATATAGTATTGGTTTTGGTGTTAGAATGTGGAGAGCCTAAATGCTGGAAGACTTCGATCCCATCCTTGCGTGCTTCCTTGGCATTCAAATTATATTGTTTTTGCTTTTAGATGATTGTATGCTATTCTTGTTGTATAGTTTCCTTGTTCTATTCTTGTTGTATAGTTTCCTTGTTCTGTTTTGGATAGATGAAGAGTCTTAAAGTAGTATTTAGATCCTTATTATTATTATTTTTATATATTTCATGCTTGATTACCCGCTTGCCTTCTCCAGTCATGTCATGTTGTCCTCAAAGTTGCATTTGTTACAATTTTGATACTGTGTTTTATACTTCCTCTTTACAAAAGCAAAAGTTATCTTCTCCACAGCCTTCGTGATTCAGTTACTGCTTGGTGTGTTTGCAGGATGACTTGTCCCGTGCTACTCCTGTATCTAGGCACCTTTCACGCCCAGCAAGCCAAAATGCTTTTGATGAGAATGCTGATAACATGGGTTTGGCAGAGGTTGAGCTGGCTCATTTGCATCGCAAATTGACATCTTCAGACCCTGTACGCTCTGCTTCAAATATTCAGACCTCATCTGCTGCTCAACATGTTGGACCGCCTGCATCATATTCTTATGCCGCTGCTTTGGGAGCTTCCTTGTCAAGAAGCTCCACTCCTGATCCTCAACACATTGCTCGGGCTCCTAGTCCTTGTCTTACCCCTATCGGAGGAGGCAGGATAGGAACTTCCGAAAAGAGAAGCATTAACAGCCCTAATGCCTTAAACGACTTTTCTACTCGCATGAATGAGTCCGCTGACCTGGTAACTGCTTTGTCAGGCATGGGTCTTTCAACTGGGGCTATGGATGAGGAGAATCATATACCATCTCGAATTAAACAAGAAGTCGAAGACCATAAGAATTTCTTCAATCTTCCTGCTGGTCAGAATAACCTGAAGCAGCATGCATATATGAAGAAATCTGAATCTGGACAGTTCAATATGTCTTCTGTTCCTCAGCCAGCAAGAATGATGCCTTCTGACACTGGTGTGAGCAGTGGTGGCGGCAGTTCTTCTCTTCAAACTGAGCTTCACAAAACCAGCATTTCTTCTAAAAACTCTTTTGTACATGGATCTTCCACCTCTATAGTTAATGGTGGAAGCGGCATACTTTCTCAGTATCCACGTTTGGATAGTCCAAATTCATCATTTTCGAACTATAGTTTGGGTGGCTACCCCATGAGTCCAATATCAGGCCAGTTTGGTAATTCTAATTTGCCCCCTTTGTTTGAAAATGCTGCTGCTGCATCTGCTATGGCCGTGCCTGGAATGGACTCTAGGATGTTGGGGGGATCAAATCTGGGAGCTGCTGCGTTAGACCAGAACATCAGTCGAATGGGAAATCAGATTGCAGGGAGCAGATTCCAGGCGCCTTATGTTGATCCTTCTGAGTATGCAGCAGCGCAGCTTGCAGCTCTTTATGATCCTTCTTTGGATAGAAACTACATGGGTAATTCGTACATGGACTTGCTTCAGAAAGCTTATCTTGGTACTCTGTTATCCCCACATAAATTGCAGTATGGTGTTCCCTTGAGTGGCAAGACAAGTGGTTCTAGTCCTCACGGTTACTATGGAAATCCAGCATTTGGCATTGGGTTGTCATATCCTGGAAGCCCATTGGCTAGCCCTGTAATTCCAAACTCTCCTGGAGGACCTGGTAGCCCTATGAGGCATGGTGAGTTCAACATGAGATTCCCTGGTGGGATGAGAAACATAGCTGGTGGTGTCATGGGACCTTGGCATTTGGATAACCTGGACAATAGCTTCAGTTCGTCTCTGTTGGAAGAGTTTAAGAGCAATAAAACAAAGTGTTTTGAACTTTCGGAGATTACTGGCCACGTTGTTGAATTCAGGTATGTATTGCTTTAAATATAGACTTCTAACCTTAAGATGAGTGAAACCTAACCTTTTTTTTTTTTAACATCGCCAATCAGTGCTGACCAGTATGGAAGCCGATTCATTCAACAAAAACTTGAAACTGCTACAGTAGAAGAAAAGAACATGGTTTTCTCCGAAATTTTTCCTCAATCTCTTACTTTGATGACTGATGTGTTTGGCAATTATGTTATCCAGAAGGTATCCTGACACTGACATCTGGCTATTTATTAGTCAATATATAATTCTGCACAGTAGTACTCATTCATACACCATAAGCTTTCCAATGTTATTGGTTTAACTAATGCTGTTGATTGTGGGTATTTTCATTATTTTTGACACGCTTGTCAATTTCATATCTTTTTAGTTTTTTGAGCATGGAATGGCATCTCAGAGAAGAGAATTGGCTGACAAGCTTTTTGGACATGTACTTACACTTAGCTTCCAAATGTATGGATGTCGGGTGATACAGAAGGTAAAATTAGCTTAGCATCTGAAATGCATCTGTCATTGTTCTTCATGCTGTTCTAACCCATACATAAAGGCACATCCTTAACGTCATGTACCAAGATGTCTGTGTTCACTATATTAAGTGAGATCTCTATAAAACAATAATGTTGGTACCGAGAACAAATATTACTTTAGAAGAGATTATTAATTTATTGATGGAATACGCGAAATCATTTCAAGTCAATGCTACACAAGTGCGATAAACGTTAAAAAACCTCTTGAATTGTCTAGTGAAAATGATACGATAATGGAATTGCATACAAATGAAGAGATTATTCAAGGTGGACTGAATACGTATACCGAGAATGTTTATAATATTAGATGATAATAACCCTGAGGGGTGGCTCAATTGGTCAGGCCTTGAGTTTGCTCCCCAATGGTCATCAGTTCGAGTCTCCTCAGGGCCACTGAGGTGAGTACCTGGCCGTAAACTTCAGGGCCCCGTGGAATTAGTCGAGGTGCTCGCAAGCTGGCCCAGACATCCACGGTTATCAAAAAAAAAAAAAATATTAGATGATAATTGTGTATTACCAACCATTTCCAAAAGAAGCCTTTCAAGCATTGTAACCTCAAATAATTACTTCTTGCAGAATGAATAAAAATATATTGAATGCGGTATATGCATTACTAAAAATTAAAGACGAGGTTAAATTCGGTTCGAGTACAAAGAAACTAGAAATTTTGAATGCATATCTTCAGGGGAAAAATTAAATCTCGTAAAAACAGTTGTCAAGTAAAAAAATCATTAACGTGTATCATAAAATTTTACACATTTAACCAATTATGATTTAAAATTTTCGTTGGGCCCTAAAGGATTTTAAATAAATTATTATCTTATGCTTTTAGTGGGATTATTAATGTAATGCACTGGCCTGAGTCTGGACCGGAAAAAATTATTATTTAAGCGAAATTAATTTGACAAACATTCATTTATTGAGGTTTTTTTGTACTCATGATATTTCTTTCCTGTTCTGTTTGTCTTGCCCTCGAATCCATTTAATGCCCTTTACGGTTCATTGCTTCTCAATGCTTTCCATCCCACAACCTATGTGTTTTATTTCCATTACTAGTTGAATATCTGGTTTTTTTGGACATATAAACTAGTAAATTTGTTTCAATTTAGGCAATAGAAGTTGTTGATTTGGATCAAAAGATCAAGATGGTTGAAGAGCTTGATGGACATGTCATGCGCTGTGTGCGGGATCAAAATGGGAACCATGTCATCCAGAAATGTATTGAGTGTGTTCCTGAGGAGCATATTCAATTTATCGTGTCAATATTCTTTGACCAAGTTGTGACTCTCTCCACTCATCCATACGGGTGCCGTGTGATACAGGTTAAGAAAGTTTATTATTGTTCAGATTTTTAAATATTAGACCTGCTTTTTAAGGGATTCATCAACATATTTACGTAACACTGTCCATTTACAGAGAGTGCTAGAGCACTGCAAGGACCCTATTACCCAGGACAAAGTAATGGAAGAGATTCTGGGGTCTGTAAGTATGTTGGCGCAAGATCAGTATGGCAATTATGTCATTCAGGTTTGTAAACTTTTTTTAATATATATAGATTAGGCCTAGCACCTGACATACAAACTCAGGATCAGTTTAGGAGTCTCGTGTGGATAATTTTGATGTTAAATTCGTGTATAAAAATCTTCACTATGAAATATTATTTAATACTTGTGGTTGTTCCTTTAACATCATGGTTTTGTTCTCTCAGTCCACGTAACCTTGTGATTTTTTGAGTTCTACAACTAAAAGGCGAAGATGCACTACAGAAAATTTTGAAGTGATAAATGTTGTTCTTATATTGCGCTAATTGACATCTATTCCAAGTTTGAGTTGGACATCCATTTACTTCACTGTGGTAATAAAATTGGTCTTAAGAATATAAAGTGGGCAATATTTCGGATGAATAAACTTCAAGTTGATGTCTTGAGTCAGTTCAATCGTTCCTTAAATTTACTTATTTTGTCCACTCCTCTGTACTCAGCATGTCAGCGTTGCTTGATGCGCACCATTAA